TTTTTCTTTCTTTCTTTCTTTCTTTCTTTCTTTTTTTCTTTCTTTCTTTCTTTCTTTCTTTCTTTCTTCCTTCCTTCCTTCCTTCCTTCCTTCCATCCATCCATCCATCCAGTCTCTAAGAGTCAACAACAACTTGATGGTCCATCATCATCGTTGTGATTCCTTAGGCAAACATCACCCAAGAAGCACAAACATGTTGAGCAAAAATTCTACACCACCCTCTTAAGACAGTCCAAATCCTGCCTTAAAAATCATCTGTGTGCCCAAAAGAGGCAGAGCTGCCCTAGACCCTGTACACACACTTACACTCACACTCATACAGGCCCATGATGACCCTCCTCTCAGCAGGAAGAGCAGCACAGGGAGAAATCCAACAAATTGTGAACCTTGTATCCCTTCTAGGAGGTGCGAGTAACAGAAAGAGCAAGCTAAAAATGAAGGACAGTTGGAATACAAAGCAGAGTTTTGACTGTGGGCATAAGAAACGTGGGATTCACAGCTACCAGTATCTACAGCTCTATTTCTGTCATTGGCTTCAGAGGGACCGAGCTCTCATCTCAAACAAAACTTGCAAACCCATGTGCGGGCATTAATCTAACCCTATCGCTTTTTCCCCTCCAGGGCACGCAACTGCAGAACCAGCCAATTTTTGCTCCTCAGCCCCCTGTAAGAACGGAGGGACCTGCAGAGACCTGGAGGGCGGCTACAGGTGCCAGTGTGCCCAGAGTCCCATAGCTTATGTGGGAAGAGACTGCGGGTTGCTAGCTGAACCGTGCGATAGTCATCCTTGTCCACCTGAATGGATTTGCAGTGGGACACCTGGATACCTGAATTACACTTGCCACTGTAGATCAGGCTCGACAGATCTCCCTTGCAGACCCCGAGGGGATGAATGTAAGAACAATCCTTGTCTTCAGGCTGATTTTGAGTGCGTCAGGATCCAGGATGGGTATGGCTGTCAATGTCAGAGCGGAAACAGCTGTCTGGCAAGGACTTCCATTTGTTCTAGTCAACCATGCTACAACAATGGTACCTGTCTTGAGACCGCTGGGACGTACACGTGCCAGTGCCCACCTGGCCACAGTGGCACCCACTGCGAGGAGGAGGTGGACGAGTGTGCCTCCAGCCCCTGCCAGAACGGAGCCATCTGCCTCGACCGAGTCAACGAATACAGTTGCTTCTGTGTGCCCGGCTTTCAGGGGTACCGCTGTGAAATTGACATCAACGAATGTGCCTCCCAACCTTGTCAACACAACGGCACCTGCCTCAACCAGATAGATCATTACGTTTGCCAGTGTCGGTCTGGCTACACAGGTACTGTGGACATTTCGTTTTTCTCAGATTCTGTGCGAGGACTTTTGGCGATTCACCAGCCTCCTGTCAATAAGGATTCAGTTGCCATCTAGCTTCTTAACTTGCTGTGGTAGATAGAATAGATGGTACTGGTATTTTCTAGAGAAGAGAGAGTAACTTGTGCCTTCTCGTCAGCATACGTTCAGCGCATCAGAACTGCATGGAATAACAGACCGAATATTTGTATTATTTTACATTTCAGAATTAAATTAGGAGCCATTGTAATCAAGCATTAGGTGGTCATGAAAGATCAGTCCAGTCCACTCACCCCAAAAGTCACAAACTTCTGTGCTATTGTAATTACAATTAGAAGATGATGGGCTTCACATGAATGGCTTTGACCCCAACTCTAGCTAATTCACTCTGACCCCCCCCTCATGTACGTACATGTAGATATAGATATATAGATACACACACACTCACACTCACACACACATCCTTCTTTCTCTCCTTTCCCTTTTAGCCTGTAATCATTTGTGAATAGCTTTCATGAGACCTGTGTTATATTTTTCCCCTGTTCATTTGTTGATCTACGATACAATAAATGAAGATATTCAAAGAATCATGGATGGGTAGGTCCTGAAAATAATCTAATTAACTGCATACACAAAGATTCCTGCCCTTGCTGAAAAATGTTTCTCTGTTTCTTTAGGAGGATTTGTGTGAGGTTACTGAACGCAGTTATATATACGCTGTATTTTAAGAAATAATACATTATATTATTTTCCCAATAAGAAATAAAGCTCAAGCAATGAAATGAAACAGCAACGTTATAATAAAAAGAGTAATAATCCAGTTCTGCTCACAAGTGGCAGAAAGATGGCTGGGGTTATATTTTTCTGTGTGGATGGTAGCTAATGGTCCACCTTGGGGTCACTGCCTGGAATTATTGTGCTGGTCCCAAGTGCTTTAGATATTGAGTTATCTTGGATAGTCATCTTTTCCCCCACCTCCAAATGACAGTACTGAGGGCCAAATGATGACCAGAACCTGCTCATCCCTGGACTGCTGGAAAGTTAATGTTCGGGATGTGGACAGCCAGGGCGGATGTGGTCCAGAAGGCCCAAGGGGATCACCTGGGGTAGACCCTTCAAAACAGCTTTGTGATCCTACTGCTCAGCTACGCATTGGTCTGTTGGCAAATCTGATCGCTACCCAGCTTCAGGCGCTCTTCCTTGCTCTGGAGAGTAGCCTGGTTGTTGAACGTACAACGCAGTGAAGATCAAACAGGGCCCGTTGCCAGCGTAATAATCTTAGTCCAGCCAGCGTCCCTGAGATGGGAGTGCCAAAAGGCTGAGTCCAGAGATTTCTCTCTTAGTTGCAACACAAGCTATTTTTCTGGACCAAGCTGGCACTGACTCACCCCGGGCTTGCCAGCTCCCTGCTGAAGCAGCAGAAGCCACGAGGGTCTTTCTTCTGGTCTGGGGGCGGAATGTGGACCGCAGCGTGTCCTCCTCCACCTGGTACCAGCCGGCACGCAGACACCCTCTGGCCTTGCTCTTCCGTGAGAGTTACATGGCCGCGAAGGAATGCGAGAGAGGGTGACTGGCTGAAGATTACCAGTTAGGTAGCGAGAGGAGTTGCAACACTGGATGCCCCTTCTGTGATTCTTGGCAGTGGAATTTCCTCTCTATCAAGAACAACAGAAGAGAGAAATCGGGGAAAGGGAAAGAACAGAAGGAAAGCAAAAATCTCCATTTCACTCCTCGCTCGGGAGATTCCAACATCCCCTTGCAAAAACCCCCTCAGCTCAGGATGAGCGAGTAACAGTTTGAAACTTCATAGGCAGGGCAAACGGCGTGGGAAACTTAGGTATGAACTTGGCAACGCCTTAAAATAACCTGCGGTCAGCCAGCCAAGCATCTCTGCTTGTCGAAAGGTCGCAAATATCTTTGGCCAAATAAAGATGCAAGGCTGTGGGTTTTGCCACATCCCCACACAGAACCATCCTATTCCGATGAGTTAATTGGAGAATTTTTGTGTAAACTCGCAACCGCCGCCTTCCTCCGGGCACTCCCTCACCCGTTTTGAGTTCCAGGTGTCCTCCAATAATGTCTTGCGCATCTCCCTCCAACGTGGGGTTATGCTCATGGCCCTTTCCCCAACAGGGGACTGAGCATTTTTGAGCAGGAGGAGATGCACGAGAAAGCTCGCTTAATGCTTGACAGCTCTTAGCCTGCCAGATTAAGGGGCCCGCATTCCTGGTGGATTAGTGTGGCCGGGACTGCTGTGAAGCAGAGTTTTGCCAGAAAATTGGGATTAAGTGGATCGGCAGGTGCCGGTCCAGGGATATATGCTCAGAAGTGAGTGTAAACAGGAACAGATTGTGAAACAGAGGGTGAAGGCAACTTAAACTGCCATTATGCGTTCCTTTATGGACCTGCTGTAAACCTGCAAAGAGGCTGAAGATATATAATCCTACCCCTTAGAGAGAGATCTCTCCATTTTTGAACCTGGAAGAAACATGCTCCGCTTCACTTGAGTTAAAACCATGGCAATCTTGGGCATTTCCCTCCCTCACAGCATCCATTTCCCATGGAAATCATAGTTTCCAGTCCCTCTCGCTGGATTGTTTAGAGAACACGCAGCCATTAGAAAGAGCAGTATAAACACGAATCCATCTGTCTCTTTTTGTAACAAAGGTACGAACTGCGATGTGGAGATCAACGAATGTGAGTCGGGTCCTTGCTGGCATGGTGGCACCTGCAGTGACCGCATTGGGTTCTTCACCTGTTCCTGCCTGCCAGGCTACGCAGGAGCCCAGTGCGAGGTGGACATTGATGAGTGCCAGAGCCAGCCTTGTCTTCACGGAGGGATGTGCCATGACCTCGTCAACGGGTGAGAGGCTCAGTCTTCAGGACAATGTCCATGGCTTCTAGGACATGACAACCCTGATCTTGCACAGATGGAGCCAGGGAGACAGGTCACAAAACGTTGCACTATGGAAGGCTCCTATTCAAGGTTTCAATCGGCCATCCGTTCAGTCCTCACTAAGCTGTCTTTCTGCTCAGGGGGTCTTTCCCCATTTAGGACTTTTCCCCCCCAGTGATTATTTTTTTGTGTTTCTCCAATCCTTGGGATTCCCCTCTTGAGAGAAGCCTTCAAGAAGGGAGACTGCTATTAATTAGCATAGATGATTACAGCTGATGGCTGCAGCGCACGTATTGTTGAGAGGACTAGGCTAGTTTAATGTTCATGCCATACATCAGAGTAACTTTGATTATTTACTCTGTTGAGGGCACAGTTGAGGAACAGTCAAGACGCACTGACCTAAAAGCACGGAAGAAATTGACATGGGGCATCATAAGGCATTGACAATATCCATGGAAAAGAGAGGATGAGCTAAACTGACCGGTCCCACCGTCTTTTTTCCTCCTTAGCTACCAGTGTGACTGCCACAACACTGGCTTTGAAGGACAGCACTGTGAGGTGGACATCTTGGAATGTGCTTCACAACCTTGCCAGAATGGAGCTTCCTGCTTGGAAGGGGCTGGATTTTACAACTGTTCTTGCTGGCCAGGTAGGCACAATCACTCCCTCACCTTTCAGAACCCATTGTGGTGGGGAGAGAGCAATTAGCAGTGTTTTTCAAACTTGGCCACTTTAAGACATGTGGACTTCAACTCCCAGAATTCCCCAGCCAGCATTAAAGAGGCCAAGTTTGAAAGGTGCTGACTTAGCACCTCCAGGCTCCATGCAAAAGATTTTCCAGGCTATACAATGCATTTTCAGGTCCAATTCTGAGTCTCATCTCAGCAGTCAACTCTGAATGATTTCTGAAGAAACAATATGCAGATTCCTTCTGAATGTTTCCATCTCATAAGATCAGCAAGGTTGGGGGGTGCTGATCCTTTCCAGGTGTTGGGTCTTGTGAAGTTCCAGACTCTCTTTCATTTAAGAGTTGGGGGTTTTTTCACAGTCAAATGTAGGACTATCATGAAGGATCAGAGAATGTCAGGCTGTTACAAACGGACTCCAACTTTTCCAGCCCTGAACTGAGCTTGTAATGGGGGAGTCAGATGGCTCCCTGCCCTTTCACCAGCTAAATAGCCTTTGCGTGTGTGTGTATGTGGTGGGGGGAGATGCTACAGAGAGATCATGGAAAAAAAGAACAAGGAAAGAATTGAAATATTATACAGCCCAGATGCCCTTGGGGTACAATCTGGAGCAAAGGTGCTGCAAAAGAGAAGCATTCCTGGGGAGCCCAGTGGGTTTTCCCCCTACTACTATTTCCAGCAGAAGGCATCGGTGGGTGCCAGCGGGAAGCCTTCTGCTTTGTCCTTGCGTCCAACTAACCCAAACAAGAACCTAGTTCAACTGGGATGAAGTTGCCTCCAGCCCCACGTTCCTAGTTAGCTCAGGTTCTACATCGGCCCCGGCTGACACAGAGACTCTTCCTTCGCTCTCTGACATTAGGGTACATGGGGACACACTGCGAAGAAGACATTGACGAGTGTGCGGCACACCCTTGTCTCAACGGCGGCCAGTGCCTTGAACGGTCCAATCAGAGCTACTACGGGAAGCACGTGGGTTTTCCGGAGCAGTTTGTCCACCAGGCAGCTGCGGGGTTCATCTGCCGTTGCCAGCCCGGTTTTGAGGGTGCGTTCTATGGGGCCAAGGGGAGCGTCCTTTCCTTTTCCCTGGTTTTGGGAACCTGTGGGTGCTACAGTGGGTCAGGAAGTGGCTGATAGATCAAGAAATCAGGCCTCTCCCCTCTGTTTCATAAGGGGGTTTAATGCCATAGACCCTGATTTTAGATCGTTTTATACATTAATTTCCATTCCTGGGCACTTTTTATTTCTGTCACGGGATTGTTTTTGAAGGTTAAAACGTGCCCTAAATGTTGCAGTGCATTTGAAGAACAGCATCTGCTTTTCAATGGGTGTCTGTGTGTTCAGTACATGTATTCAAGCCTGCTTGCTGCATCCGGTTAATTACTGATCCTCAAAATCAACGAGAAACACAAGTTTTAGCATGATTTGCTTGCAATCCCTTTGAAGGAGAAACCTGTTCCATCAACACTGATGAATGCAAGTCCCAACCATGTCAGAACGGAGGAAGCTGCGTAGATTTGGTGAACGGCTATCGGTGTCACTGCTCGCCAGGATATTCAGGTAAATCGATGGACGTCTTATCGGGAACGGGGGAGCCCCTGACCAAAGTGTGGAAAGAGAGGTGTCTTGCAACTCACTGCACACTCTTATAGTGCCTTCATGTGACCCAAAGGGGGTATCCCCTATTGCTTCTTTCGCTCACCTCATTTAAGTTTCTAGCTGGGTGAAAACAAAATTCGGCAGATCGTTAAGATCAAAGTCTGATTGCTGGCGACATTCCAGCGTCGGCTTTGGAACGGTTCATGCTGTGATACTTTGCTCAAGTAACGCTTGAGTTGTCCGGTTGGAGTTTACGCTTGGTTGGGGCAAACCTTCTTCTGCGGTTTCTCTGATCCTCAGCCATGCGGGGAGGGCGTCACCGTTTCGGCTAGATTTCGCAGCACAGGTTTACAGAGACCAACCAGAATGCATGTTAAAAGTAGGATGTGTGCAAAAGCAGAGAATAAATGCAAGGCCTGCTCCATGAACACCAAACTTCATCCACCTCTCTTTTCCCCCGCTTAATGGAAGAGAGAGCTTCTCTGGTTTAGCTGCGAGGTAGAGGTTAAACGCCTTGCTTCTAAGCTCATTGACGCTATTCAGTTTCATCGCATCGGATAGCTCTGTAACACTGACTGTTGGGAATATTATTTCTAAAATATTATGCGACTGCCATCTTGTGGAAGGGAAGAGAAATCTGAAATATTAAGAAAACCCGGTGGTTAGCTTTCCGAAATAGAAAGGACTTAAGTCTCTTCCGTTCGAGCCCTGCTCAGTCTTGGAACATGCAAAACGATGAGATGAAACAAATTACCCAGATGGGATTCAGAACATCTGCAGAACACACTTTCTACTTGCCAGTAAACTACTTCAGCCTGTCCCCACACACCAGGAAGCAGTACAGGGAGTCCTTGTTTAGTGACCACAGTTGGGACCAGCAACTCAGTTGCTGAGCGAAGCGGTCACTAAGTGAAATCTCGACTGTTTACCACCTTACTTCAGCTTTCTTTCGCTTGACAGGAAGGTCGTAAATGCAAGGATTGGTCGCAAAGTTACTTTTTCATCACCGTCATAACTGTGAATGGTTGCTAAATGAGGACTGCCTGTATTAGTGGAAGATCATGTCAGTAGCATCTTTTAGTGAACGCCACCAGGGGTGGAGATAGAATTGTGTTGTTTCCACATTCAGTTAATTCTGAAGCATTCGTCAAGGAAGTGTGTAGAGAGTCTGGACCAATCCTTGTGTGTTGTCAGGAGGTCATATGGCGGCAACTCTTCCGGTGGGAAAGGTGCTGCAAAGCTTGCACTTTCTGAGGGGAAGGGCCATTGCAGGGCCCAGTTCTGTGGCATGAAGTCAATCAAAGGGTCAGTTTAGTTGGTCTTCCTACGCACTCCTAAAAGGATAGTTCTCCCAACCGGCTGGCTCCAGGCGGCCTGTGTGCTCCCTGCCACAGAAGCGGGCCTCCAGCCTCCCCTCCCATTCCCAGCAATAAGACGAGGGCAAGGCTTGCCTTTGAAGGGAGGGCACACAGGACCAGCAGGCTCTCCTGCGCAGGGCCGTCTCCCACTCCCCTTGCAGGGGAGGCGATAGGCAAACATCTTGTCAGCTGGGAGAGAAGCCAGCTGGGAAGATTTAGAGCCGAGATGGATTAGACCTAGCAGCCGCAGGAGGAGCAGAGCAACAGCCCTTGTTTTGAGCCTGGCTTCATCTCCAAGGCCCGTTGCGTGCCTGGCACCCAGGGGTGACACAAAGCGTGTTCCAGCCCACCCCATCGTCATCCCCCATGTTTCCTCTTGGGACCACCACCCATGCCGCCAGGGGAGCAGCCATGAACCCTGCGCTGGCTGGCATCTTCCTGGGTGGAATTTATCATCTCCTGGCAGGTAATGGCAATCACCACAGCTCTTATTCTGTCTGTGTGACTGTGGGTCTGTGGATTCCTGGGTGTGTCTTCTGTAAGGATTGGTGGTCAATGATTCTTGTTTGGGAAGGCTTTCTGTGGGGGTGGGGGTGTCTCTGTTAACCCTTCTTGGAGTGCTGGGCTGGTTAGCTTCATGCTCAAATGCACTTTTCCCTTCCTCATTTGAAGCTGTTCTGGCCAGTCCTGGGAAAACTCCAGATGGTGAAAACTGTGTGTGTCTCGGCGGTGGCGGGGAATAAATCCATCATGTCCCCAAGAAGCAAGTTTTCTCTCCAGTTGGATTGGACCACCGCCCATGGATGGTGGTCTCTTGTCTGTTCAAAGAAGAAGATGCACTAGGGAAGGGGGAGAGGTGATGGGCAAATGATCTTCCCCACTTCAAATCTGTCAGTCCTGCCGTTGCAATATATATTAGGCCAGGCTGTGCCCCACTAATGGGCTGATCCTTTCATCAGTAGAAGATGGATGGCCTTGAGAACAAGAACAAGGAGAGTGCCTTGCCGGGATGTTTAGTAAAGAGGGGGAAATGGATGGAGGAAGTTTAAGATGTGTAGAAGGGCAACAGTCCTTGCGAGCAATGAATACTTGCTAAAAGATGCAAAAATGGCTGTGTACGTTTTATGGAAGTGAAGGTTGGGCAGACAGGATAAACGATGCAAGTAAGTTGAAGGCAGTGGGAATCGGGTCCTTAAATGTGTTGGGTCAAATAAGAAGAGATCAGGTCAAGAATGAACGGGTGCTGGATGAAGGTGGACGGAACAGAAAAAGGATTGACCGGGACAATAGAAATAGGTTGGTCATATAGGGAGAATGAATAAGGATGGACTCCTAAAATAAATAAATGAAAAAAGAGTGAATTGGCTGAGAGGGAAGCAGGACACCGAGGTGGTCATGGTTGGCTGCCGTTGATGAGATCCTCAAAGATAAAGAGGTAAGAGGTTCAAGGAACCAAGGGCAATGTATGGAGCAGTAAATGAACTGGTAGAAGCAGGGATAGTTTGCCAGGAAAAGGGCAGAGCACGAAGGAAATGGCATCGGTGTAAATTAGTTTTAGCTGGGCTTGTTTTCCTTTTCTGGCTATTTCTTACTTCTTTTCTGCATTCTACCCAAGCCTGCTTGTCCCCAAAGGGAAGAGTGGGGTGGGGTGCATGCTGGTAGGCCAAGATCTTCCGTCTGCCTGTTGAGCATCAAGGAAAGGAAGCTCCCGGATTTGCAGCCTGCGCTGGCTTCACGACTCGCTCAAGGCAGCCGCAGAGAGGGCTTCCCTTGGCGACCTCAGAGCGACTTGCAGGCTTCCTTTGATGAAGCTTTTCTGTGGCCCTTAGATCCTAACCGCCCAACTAACCCCTTGCCAGCTGCAGGTCTTTCTGTATCTCCAACAAGGGGAAGGGAACGCTCCTTTAAAGCCCGCTGGCCTTCTGGAGAGAGTGGCATAAACACGCTGAGCCCTGCTGCCAGCGCGGCCTTTGTGTCCCTGAGCGAGCCTCCTCTCCCCTTTCGGAGAAGAGATACTCCCTTCTCTCTAAGGACTCTCTGCTCCCCAAAGCGCCATCCCTCCCACAAAACTGGCGTGTAAGTTATTTCCTGGCACGTTCCAGCCGACTTCATTCCTGCTGACAGAAAACGCCTAAAGCAGATTCTTGTTATTTCCGTAAAAGGGGACCGCCTTCTTTGGATTCTTGGCTGAAGCAAAGACATATGTCCATGTAGATAAGTCCTTGCCCTCAGTGGAAGAATCCCAAAAATGGAACCCCTGGAACTCCCTCCTGGAATTGCGCAGTTGCTCCTCGGAGAGTTTTGCATGCTCCCAAACTAAAAACGTTGGAAAAGTGTCCTTCCCCCAAAGGGAACGTAACTAGTTCATGTATCCCTTGCCCACATTTTATGGCCTTGTGCAAATCTTTACAGGCTGTGTTGAATGGGAGGAGGCTGACGCTGCTCCCGCAAGGATGCTCTGGTGGTGGCATCCAGTAGACTCAAGAGCAGGTTCTGAAATACCAGCCCTGTTTTCCCCCTCCTGCAGCTTCACAGGCTTAATGTTGGCCCGGTGCATTGTAGGAAGGAGCTCCTTCTCAGCAAATACCCATCATTCCGTCTGCCAAAGAAGGCCATATGGGAAAGAGGAATGGCTGCTGATTCTATAGCCCCTTAGCATGCAGGAAGGAACATTTAGACCCGTTGGCCACCCTAACTGTGATGGGGGATTATCCAAAAAGAGGAGACCTAAATACACAGGGCTATTCTTCCAACCCACTGGTTTCTATCCCTCCATGATCCTTCTGGCTGTGGAGGGCAGCCATGAAGAGACCTGATCGGGGCAGACTTGGTGCAACAGGTCTTCTCCACCACGGCAAACAAACAAGGGAGGAATCAAAACACGGTCTCCCAAGGGGGAGCTCCATCCTTAATTAGCCAGCAACACGGGGCCACGAGAGGGCCCTGAAGATTAATTTGCTGATGGGCAGAATGTGCAGGGCCCAAAGGTAACAGTCCCCCGAGCAAAGTAGTGGCATCTTCAGGGAGAGCTATTTTGGCTCTGAAAGGAGAAGATCCACTGGGAACAGGAAGAGGTGCTTCTAGTTTTCCTTTACTCAACCTCTCGCTTCATTCCACCTGGGACTGAGATTTGGGGGCTAGAGGAACTTGGGGGAGGTGGACCTCTTCTCTAGCTGTTCCTGCTTTGCGCTGCCGTGGATTTACCAATGCAATATCCTGTGTTTCTCAACCTCAGCAATTTTAAGATGTGTGGAGTTCAGCTCCCAGAATCCCCCAGCCCCCAGGGACACCCCCGCCCCCCCCGTCTTATCATCTTAAAATTGCTGAGGATGAGAAAAACTGCAGTATTCCCACCCCCCCTATCTGGCTACAAACAGTCTCAGTGCCGG